TATGGAACGTAGATCTTTTAAAATTTGGCAGGTCCTCATCATCATTCACTTGCTTCAATATTTTATCTATTGTAGGTATTTCATTCCTGAAGAAAAAGTGTTGTACTTTTCTTCTAATGGCACTTTTGTCAAAGTCATCTATTTTTTCGATGATTTTTTTTCTCGCTGGATATGTTTTTGGCTCAGATAGTGAGTGATTTTGTCTATATTCTTTCAAGATTTTGTAAACACTTGATCGACCTACTCCAGAAATTTCAGCAACCTTACATACGATATTTTCTATAGCCAATCCACTATTCTCTTGCATCTGGTTCTTGTAGATATTTAGAATAATTTGTTTTTCACCTGCGCGAAGATGAAGATTTTTAGCCCTTTTGCTGGGTGACGTTAAGCTGATTTCAACCACTTCATCAGCTGTATCTGTGTCAGACATTTTAGACTAATATTAAATTTCCGCAAGAAAAATCAAGTCAAGACGTGCATAAAACGTTCGCGCTCATAAACGGGTATCCGTAACTGATTACAATCCTGTGCGTGGTGACGAACCATCAACGTGACGCTGAGAGTTCCCTCTACTATGCAGCGTTGCCAGGCTTAATGTCACAATGATCATGTTTTATTGGGAAAATTGTCAGAAATCGCCGAATGTTGAACAGAAACATTACAAGAAGTCTAACCTTGAAATGTGAGGCTACAAATCGATATTCTTATAGGGGGGAAGGGTAGGGAGCTGTTATGGTTCCTATTAACCTTGGTGAAAGTTGGAAACGGTAATATCATATATGGCATACATTCGGTTGAAGGTGTGTGCACGGAAAATAGATTGCGGATAGGATTTTAATAGATAAATCTGCACAAAAAAACACAAAAGGAGATTTTTGTATTTCCCTGAAGAATATCTCAAGGTTATTTCAGATGTACTAATCGAAACTTTATGGAAGGATTATCGAAACCTTATTTTCAATTGCGATAGGGCCACATACCTCGACATCGCATTAATGTGAAAAATAAGACAATAGAAAAAAATTCCCTCACTGATGCTATCTCTTAGGAAAAATTTAACTATAAAGATTGCACAAAAATTTTCTTCACCTTTTCGAACTTGTTTTCGCATCTCCGTATATGCCGTTCATAATTTGCTGCAGATCAAATTGGAATATACCTTTGTGATGCCATTTATTGTTATATAATGTCCTTTACAACAGTTATTGCACGTATTGCACCAACAGATTGATTTGTGATCCATGCGAATGTGATCAACCACTCTGGCGAAAACTCGCCGAGCGTGGCAACCGTGCGACTTTGTCTGGAGGCTCGTCGCTACACTGATGCTATCTCTTAGGAAAAATTTAACTATAAAGATTGCACAAAAATTTTCTTCACCTTTTCGAGCTTGTTTTCGCATCTCCGTATATGCCGTTCATAATTTGCTGCAGATCAAATTGGAATATACCTTTGTGATGCCATTTATTGTTATATAATGTCCTTTACAACAGTTATTGCACGTATTGCACCAACAGATTGATTTGTGATCCATGCGAATGTGATCAACCACTCTGGCGAAAACTCGCCGAGCGTGGCAACCGTGCGACTTTGTCTGGAGGCTCGTCGCTACAAGCCAATCAGGAAGAGGCCGACAGAGCGCCATGGCTACCGATCACGCGTTGATCACGAATCAACCACTGTTTACGATTACTTTGTAGCTTCGTTAGATACACTTTAGTTACTGAGATGTAAGGTGTTTTGTTCAGAAAAACCGTCCACTTCGGCAACCGCTCAATCCGTCATTTTGAAATTTGAAGTCCTGAATTTTGTATCAAAAAAAATCTTACGTACCTCAGCTTTTATCCTCTTTTTTCCTTTTTGGAATCTTCATTTTAGCTCATACAGGGTGGTCAAAAACGCAAATTGTACTTTTTCTCAAAAATTTCAAATGCATTACCCTGTATATTTGTTCAACTTTGGATTCAATTTTTTATAAGCTTCTTTTTTTGGTGTAAGGTTTGATTCAGATAAAATCAGTAGATTTTGAGTTATTAAGCTCTTAATAGAACAACACATAAAAATTAAGGAAAAAAATCACATGACATGACATCCCGAAAGCATTCGATCAGCTGTGGCACGCTGCCGTCTTAAGCAAACTTCCATCCTAAAGCCTTCCAGAAACGCTTTGCAGATGGGTGGCTGACTTTATCTCTGGCTGCGAGATATCCGTCGTAATTGACGGGTTCTCCTCTTCATCCCACAACGTCAACGCGGGTGTTCCCCAGGGATCGGCCTTGGCTCCGACACTGTTTCTCTGACATATCAACGACCTCCTTTCCTGCACGATCAACCCAATACACAGCTTCGCTGATGACAGCACTCTACATGCAGGAATTCAGAGTCACAAGCCGATCTCTGCCGCTGAGCTGGAAAGAAGAAGACTAGCGACGACTTCCTCTCTGATAAGAGACCTGGAGGATATCACAGCTTGGGGACGCAACAATCTTGTACAGTTCAATGCTTCCAAAACACAATACTGTACTTCGATGAACAAAAAGCGTCCTAGCGCTCATCCGATTTCGATGGATGGCCGAGTTCTGCCAAAGAGCCATTCCTTTCTGCTGGTCGGAGTCCAGATAACCGAGGACCTGATCTGGCACTAACACATCTCGTCAATAGCAGCAGCTGCTGGGGAAAAGCTAGGCTATTTGTTTAGGGCTAAGAAGTACTTTTCTCCGCATGATCTTCTCACTCTATACAAGGCCCAGATAAGGCCTAGCCTCGAGTATGGCTCACACGTTTGTGGTGCTGCCGCCCCGACTACATTGTCCGTGCTCGATGCTGGGGCGGTCCGACTGATCGATGACTCTTCTCTAACAGACATTCTCGGGACCCTTTCGCACCTGCTGGCCGTCGGCGATCTAGCTCTTTTCTACCGCTACACCAATGGGCTTTGCTCCTCAGAGCTCTCTTTCTGCCTGACCTTGGCGTCCCATCCTTACCGTGTCGAACTTCGTACATCCAGAACTGGCCGATACGACCACTCCTTTGTCCCGAGGGTGTCGAGATTGTGAAACTATCTACAAGAGGAAGCTTTTCCCAGTTCTACTAACCTTAGGCAGTTCAAAAATCGTATTAACAAAATTTCTTTGGGATCATCATAGCAGCCGCGGTGTTCGGCATTTAGGCTTCTGCCTGCGCGGCTTCGATATAAAAAAAAGCTAGGAATTAAATAAATACTTAATAATGCCTGATGATAATAGTACTGAAACGATACTGAATTGAACTATTTTTAGAGAAGAAATCAAATAACATCTGTTGCCATTTGGTGTTTAAGCTTGTCACTTGAAAGGATATGATAATTTCAAGTCACGCGAATGTTGGTAGTTCTCATGTTACTTGCGTGTTCAGCTCTAGTAAACAGAGCGAATACTGAAACGACCACGAACCCTTATATCTTATTTAAAGGAAAAGTAACAAATATAAATGTATAGGTATTTCTCAATCTACAGAAGTGACAATAGTTTTGAAACAACAAAAACTCTCGTACATCCCAAATAAAGCAGGTTTGGAACAAATGTATTTTGCATCATGATTGACTATAGGAAATTTCCAAAATATGGAGAAAAAGTTCTCTTCAGTGCACTATCAGAGCCATATCTGATTGAATTATATGCAGTATCAGATTTTTCTGTAGATCTTTGTAAGCTGACTTATTTGACTATAGGCATTGAGGTTTAAGCATTTAAAAGAATTCGGCAGTGTACGTTGAGGATATTGTAGTTTTGAAAACTAATAAGGTTTAAAAAAGTACGAAAAAGTATCATTTCAGTGAGTCCTCTTTCCCTATTATATTAGGTTTTTGAAAATCTCCAGCGACGTCAAAATATCTGATACAAGAATTCTTTGAATTTTTGCTCTTCGCTCAGGAAATACCCAGTACTAAAGGTATACTGAGGATCGAGATCGTTTTGCCTCCCTTCTAACCCTTGAAGGGAAAGAGACATGATAAAGGCTTCTAAGATAAAGTGTTAATAGTATAATGACATAAAATAACCCAATTGCCGTGTTTTGTATAAATAAATGGGTATCTCCCGATTTTTTACTGTTACGTCAGTTCAAAAAGTATATTTTGAGTATTTTTAGAGGTGATAAAACTTACTTACCAAATTTGTATCATAAAATTTTGCGCCGAAGCTTTAAGGTCATACATTCAGCGAGACGTAATTTCTTTCAAACCCTGGACGTCAGGTTTCCGTAGGTTATGAGGTAAATAGTATTTATTCTCTGTTATGTAAGGTCACGTTCTATAGGGTTTCCGGTAAGAATCAGATTTTATTGATTAATTCCTCCGACGGTGTGAAGGATTTGAATGAATTCTCTTTCAATGTATAAATTACAAATAAATACGTCATTTCCATCACATGAGAGAAAAGATGACAAACTACATCATCATTGAAAAATGCATTTGAACAATCTGCTTCAGTTATTCAGAACCCAATTTAGTTTTTGCAAGAAGTACCCTATTCTGACTCAAGCAACAGAAAGCGCCTTAAAGTGCCCCATACACTTACAGATTTTAGATGAATCTAATATCTGCCGTATGTCATTTGCACAGCTTTGCGACTGTGATCAACCACGAATGTGACATGATAAGCAATTCGAATAATCCTAAAAGTGTGGAACTTCAAAGTTTACTTTTCGGCTACCACAGGATAGACCAACTCGTTTTAAACACAGATTGTTATGGAATGGTTAGTGTTCATTGGACGACTTGATTTGTTCGGCTTTGACGAATCATGTTACTGGATCTGATCTGGAATCTGCAAACGATGATCTGCTCGTGTATGGAATACTCTACCATGATGAATCTATTATTTTAGTCTAGAGGGTATGGAATGAAAACACTTTTCTACGCTTATGCACGTGAAAACAAGCGGCTCCCGATTACCATATTTTTTCCGGTTCTACAGAGCGTGTACGTGTTATCTCCCTATAACAAGTTTTTTTCTTCCAGGGCCTAAGTTGATATGAAGTGGCAGCTCACGCTAACGAGCAAACTTCCCACAACTCCAATGAACTCCACAGAGCCGTTCGGGGACAAGGAATGAATCGTTAATATTCACGAGCGCCAAGAGACCATTAAGGTACAGGGATTTCTTTTTTCTTTTAGAAGATGCTTACATCGATGGGTTTAAAATGAATGAAAAATGCAGGCGCTCAAGCTTGACGTGAATCAGAGAGCTCTTTCAAGCTCAAGTTGTTTTTTACAAACTTTCTAAACTTTATTTATGATTAGGTTTTATTTTGCAGAAAACTTCAAGACGAGCTGTTTCTATTCTTTAACGGAATATGTATCAAACATTGTTGGCCAGCTATTATTCCTTACCTTTGATTTCATCTATTTATTCATAGACATGGATGACCTGGCTCATCGAAGCGACGAAAACTAAATTCCAAATTACGTTCCCATAATTCTACCCTACGCTATGTAGAACCTTAAAATGAAATTTAGTTAGTAAAGTTCGCCTATACGAGATTGTTATTAGACCACAAATTACTTACGCATGTGTTTCGTCGCCAAAACTAACATTCGAAGTCTGCAAGCTCTGAAGAACAGAGCCTTTCGTACCATCACTAACCTGAGGGACTAAGGCCCGTATCGTCAGTCGTCCCTACAATTGTAGGGCGCCTTTATGGCCTTCTTGATTGTCATAGTTTTCTACTTCTCCGTGTCAGCACTCTATTTTGAGGTTATGTCACAAGCATCTATTTGCATCAAATTGTGCTTGCTTTTGAGTTATATCATGTTATATCAATTTGATGCAAATAGATGTTTGTGACATAACCTCAAAATAGAGCGCTGACACGGAGAAGTAGAAAACTATGACAATCAAGGAGGCCATAAAGGCGCCCTACAATTGTAGGGACGACTGACGATACGGGCCTAAATTGAACGCACATCGACGTCATAGTCAGGCGGAATCGCACAGCAACACATTGTTGTGTAGATCACACAGTCGAGTAGGATGGCAAGTACAAAATGCCGTGTCTCGCACTGTGAACAAAATTAAGTCGTGAAATTCTAGGTGCAACAAAACTCAAAAATTTCGCTTAACATCAAACCATGAAATTAATTTTCTAGGTCAATTCTAATAAGCCAGTGTTCTAGGTAACAATGTCAAATTACCCTTCCAATTGACGTACCTCCTTCTTTTCCCGTCCCTTCCTTTCTTTCTTCTCCCCTTCTTTCTCCGTCATTTTGTCTGATATCTGCGCAACCAGACCTCACATACCTACTGACCCACAAAAGCAAATGCCTTACAGACCGCATGACGATTAGAAGTTACGTATTTTACGAACGCTAAATTGTAGAAGATCCGAATTGGACACGACATTCTCTTATCTGTTGAATGTATGAAAAGTATTTTATGTCAAATTTAGTATGTTAAAAAATATATCGCGAGTGGGTAAGGCTGAAGAAACCTGGCGAGAGTATAAAATTAAATCGTGAGATTTTAGATGCAACAAAATTCAGAAATTTCCCTTAACATCAAATCTCAAAATTAATTTTCTAGATCAATTCTATAATGCCCGAGTTCTAGGTAACAATGCCAAAGCACCCTGCCAATTGATGTTCTTAGATACTTCTCTTCTCGTTCTTTCCTTTCTTTCTTCTTCTCTTCTTTCTCCTTGACTTTGTCTGATATCTACGCAACCAGACCTCACATACCTACTGACCCACAAAAGCAAATGTCTTACGGACCGCATGACGATTACATGTTTTACGAATGCTAAATAGTAGAAGATCCGAATTGGACACGACCTTCTCTTATCTGTTGTATGTATGAAAAGTATTTTATATCAAATTTAGTATGTTAAAAAATATATCGCTAGTGAGTTGGATAAAAAAACTTGGCGAGAGTATGATTAATTGACAATTGAAAAACGTTTTTTATCAAATATAGCACCAAAGAGTTTAACGAATGAAATTAATGCCAACCAAGAGTATGAAGTCTACAGAATAAACAAAGGTTTCTCTGGCAGGTATGTTGATACAAGTTATTTTCAACGATTTTTTAATAAATAGATCTTTTGTCAAAATAAGAGCCTTTTCATTACGAACGCCATGTTTGCAAAAAACTTGGCTGGAATGTTGGATGGCGGAATGCGAATGAAAACTTGCAAAAAAGAGGTCCAAACTAAGTATACTGTACTATACAGGTTGTTTCACAACTTATCCGACAAATTTTAACCACATATACACTGTTACGAAAGAAGTTGATTTCTCAAAAAAGAATGTAATAAAAGTCCTACAGAAATAGGGATAATAAAATAATACAGTTTAACAGTTCACTTACTTATAAAGGCTGTTCAGAATTGTTTCCATTGACTGCAATTTCGGCGCACTAATTCAAATACACCTCCTTCCTGCTGTGCCTGAAGGCTTAAATTATCGGCAGCCACTGTGATTCGGTCACGCAATTGTTCAATATTCCGAACTGAAGTACGCTATACCGCGTTTTTCAAGTAACCCCATAAAAAAAGTCTAGAGGATTTAGATCGGGAGACCGTGGAGGCCATGCAGTTGGTCCACCCCTTCCGATCCAGCGTATCTGGTATACCTGATTCAAAAAATCACGAACTTCTAAACGAAAACGCGGAGATGCACCATCGTGCAGAAACCACATCCGTGCTCGGACCGCCAATGGCACATCTTCAAGAAGCACCGGCAAATCATTCCGAAGAAATTCCAAATACTGGTGACCATTCCTATCTGGCAATATGAACGGTACAATTAGACGTTCATTGACAGTACCTGCCCACAGGTTTAAAGAAAAACGATGTTGGAAGTGTGTCTGGATCACTGAGTATTATTGTTACTCAGTTTTATAACTTAATTTCTGTAGGACTTTTATTACATTTTTTTGAGAAATCAACTTCTTCCGTAACAGTGCATATGTGGTTAAAATTTGTAGGGTAAGTTGTGAAACACCCTGTATACTGCACTGCAGCTGGCAGTAGACTTGCGGAAACAAGGACAAATTATATATAATAAATTAAATATATACCGGGTGTTGCAACATTCGACGCTCACCATTGGGATCACGAAAACAGTAAGAGATACCAAGTCGGTTAAATGGGGGCAAAGTTGTTCACTTAGCTAGCTAAAATAACGGCGAGAAAGAACCCGAATCTTCCCAAAATCATTTGTATTTATTTCTGGCTTCGTTTGAGGAGGGATTTCAAAATTGCCACTTTACCTGTTCTACAAGGTGTCATAATTAGAATTTCAATACGATATTATGAAATGATAATGTTTCATTTGCAATCCCCATGTCTGCATGGCCAATGAAACACCACATATTTGAAACGTTCTTCTAATGTAGTAGTACTGCCCCACTGAGCGAGGGCCGTGGCAAATGCTTGTTCCGGAAGTTGTTGTATCCAGTATACAACTTCTTCCCGTCCAAGTGATTGTGCACGCGTTAAGGAATACCTCAGTACCGATTGCCGGGTGGCGGTACAAGTCAGCCAATGAGCCACTTTATGTCTATTTAACATCACTAACACGTAAAAAGAAGGTGGTAGACAAGGACCAGTCGACCGAGGCAGTACCACCCGCTAGCTTTTCCCAGGGTGTCTTATAAATGTCCGCATGTTTCCACACTTAAGCTATGCAGTCGGTTATCTACCAAAACAAAGAAATTAATGATGATGGATCCCTCGAGCACTAAGAACTCCGGACGTAAACTCACTCCACTCTCGGAATGTCCGGGTGGAGGGTGGGCTCGAGGGAACAACATCGAAGATAAAATTTGTTTTTCGAACATCTGCGGGATCAACAGCAACATTGATGCTGTTCATCACTACCTGCAATCCAATCGTCCCGCCGTGCTTTTCTTGGCGGAGACAAAAATCTCAGAGACTGCACCGATTAACCATCTCAACTTCCCAAACTACGAGGTGCACTCCAATCTGAGAAAGAACGGGGGAGTTGTGGCTTTTGTCCGCAGCAGTCTTTCCTGCTCCAGGGATCTTTCTTTGGAATCAGACCGGAAGGACATTCTGTGGCTTCGCCTCAACTCCAAAACATCACACAAATTTATTTGCTGCCTTTATCGCTCTCCCTCGAACCATAACTGGGATGACCTACTCGAATACCTCGCCGTCCAGATCGACTTCCTGAACATCAATCACCCCGCTTCAGAGGTAGTCCTTCTCGGTGATTTCAATGCCCATAATGAGCTTTGCTTGGGCTCAAATAAGACCGATGCAGCAGGTCGTGCAGTCGAAGCGTTCGCGCTTACTCAAGGGCTGACCCAGCTGGTGACGAGCCCTACTTTTTTCCCCCGCGTCTCGTCACACGCCAGTAGCCTGCTGGATCTCTTTCTGACCACGCATCCTGCCCCTTACAGCACTGCTGTCCTGTCCCCCCTGGGTAACTCAGATCACGGTGTTGTGGAGGTTAGGTTTCGCTCAGAAGCCGCTGTGGCAGCAGAAACTCGCACAGGCCGCAAAACTTGGCATTACGGACATGCCGACTGGGAGGGGCTGAGAGACTTCTTCTCTAGCTTTCCTTGGAGAGATGTCTGTTTCACTGACGCGGATGTGTCGACTGTCTGTTCTTCAATAACCGAAATTATCCACGTCGGAATGGAGGAATACATCCCCCACACAGTGAAAGTTCCTAAACCAGGGTCCAACGGCTGGTTCAACAAATCGTGTGACACTGCTCGCCAGCAGAAGATCAAGGCCCACAGAACCTCGCAATGCCAAAAACCAGCATGATATAAAAGTTAGGCACAGGGTAATGTCGCAGCGCAATGGCAGTCGGTCTTTCTGGACGCTGGCCAAGCAGATTGAAAAGAACTTCTCACACAGTAGCCTTCCACCACTCACGTGTCAGGATGGAACTATTGTATTCGAATCAAAGGCCAAGGCGGAAGTGCTAGCCAAGATCTTTGCTGCCAACTCCACCATGGACGTCCCCACCAACGGTGGGTGGTAAAGTGAAGGAGAGGTGCATAAATCGCGAGCTTCTGGACTACCTCGAACGTCACAGCTTGATTAGCGACAGGCAGTACGGTTTCCGGCACCAATGATCCACAGGGGACCTCCTAGCTTACGTCACGCAACTGTGGAGTAAACTCATCCAGTCTCATGGTGAGGCTCATGTCGTTGCTCTTGACATCACGAAAGCGTTCGATCAGCTGTGGCACGCTGCCCTCCTAAGCAAACTTCCATCCTACGGCCTCCCAGAAAAGCTTTGCAGATGGGTGGCTGACTTTATCTCTGGCCGCAAGATATCCGTCGTAATTGACGGATTCTCCTCGTCATCCCGCAGCGTCAACGCGGGTGTTCCCCAGGGATCGGTCTTGGCTCCAACACTGTATCTCTTACATATCAACGACCTCCTTTCCTGCACCATCAACCCAATCCACAGCTTCGCTGATGACAGCACTCTACATGCAGGAATTCAGAGTGACAAGCCGATCTCTGCCGCTGAGCTGGAAAAAAGAAGACATGCGACGACTTCTTCTCTGACAAGAGACAGCCTCCAGGTCTGGAGGCTATCACTGCTTGGGGACGCAACAATCTTGTACAGTTCAATGCTTCCAAAACACAGTACTGTACTTTGACGAACAAAAAGCGTCCTAGCGCTCATACAGTTTCGATGGACGGTCGAGTTCTACCAAAGAGCCATTCATTTCGGCTGGTCGGAGTCCAGATCACCGAGGACCTGATCTGGCACGAACACATCTCTGCAATAGCTGCAGCTGCTGGGAAAAAGCTGGGCTATTTGTTTAGGACTAAGAAGTACTTTTCTCCGCATGACCTTCTCACTCTATACAAGGCCCAGATAAGGCCTAGCCTCGAGTATTGCTCACACATTTGGGGTGCTGCCGCCCCGACTACATTATCCATGCTCGATGCTGTCCAGAGGAGGGCGGTCCGACTGATCGATGACTCTTCTCTAACAGACAGTCTCGGGACTCTTTCGCACCGGCGGGTCGTCGGCGATCTAGCTCTTTTCTATCGCTACACCAACGGGCTTTGCTCCTCAGAGCTCTCTTCCATGATGCCGCCGCGTGATGTGCCTGCCAGACAGACCCGCCTGACTTCGGCGTCCCATCCTAACCGTGTCAAACTTCGTACATCCAGAACTGGCCGATACGACCGCTCCTTTGTCGCGAGGGTGTCTAGATTGTGGAACAATCTACGGGAGGAAGCTTTTCCCAGTTCTACTAACCTTAGGCAGTTCAAAAATCGTATTAACAAAATTTCTTTGGGATCATCATAGCAGCCGCGGTGTTCCGGCATTTAGGCTTCTGCCTGCGCGGCTGTTTCGATATAAAAAAAATACGTTTCGATCACGATGGTGACCTTCTTCAGCACATGACACTTTTGATAACATTTTGCTTATCTCCCAGGTGACACTTCGTTTGTTTTTTGTTTCCATTTTCAGATTCCTGTAAAGGTCGGAAACATTCCAAATTTCAAGATGACACCTCGCAAAAAATCATAGACCGAAACGTAATAAAAGGTCATGTTTCCTTTTTATAATCAATCATAGCCTGGCTTGAAAACATATAAAATACTTTTTATACATTATACAGATGAGTAAAGGTCGTTTCAAGTTTGGATCCTAGACTAAAAGATGGCACGCTTCTAGTGTAGCAAACAGAAATAATTGCATGATGTTTGACAATTGATTACCATATTCTTCAAGAACATGCTCAACACTTGCCGTATTTCAACGTTCACTAACAATTTCGAATATCATGACACCTGACACCAACCTTCCAAAGACGGATAACCCCTCAACCGCCCTCGTATTTATTCCCAGGATTTCGTTTTCCCAGAATTTCTGAAAGATGGAATAGGAAATCCCATAAACTGCAGTAACATTCCGAGAGGTCTTTACTCTAGTTGTAAACATAAGTGGTTGGTGGATTCACGGTACGTATGTTTATTTCCACGCTTTCACTTGAATACAGCCCATTGTTGATGCGGTTGCTAGGGATAAGGCGATTAGATTACTAACACGATTTTCTGTGACTGGATGAAATGACCGCCGAGTGATATATAGTTGCGCTAAATAAAATACGCTCAGCGACCATTCAAGATACTTATATCGCTCGATTTAGAATGAATGAAAAATACAGGCGCGTTCAAGCATGACGTAAATTGGAAAGCCACTACTTGCGCTTAAGTCGTTTTATACAAACTTTATAGATCTCCCTATTCTGCAGGAATGTTTTTACTTTTTTATGGGAATATTTTTCTAACAATATAGGGCTTCTAATTATGTGATCTTTGATCTACTTATATACCCTTCCAGAGACTCTTAAGGATTTCTTCCTTTTAAAAAATGCTTACATCGATGGGTTTGCAATGGATGAAAAATGCAGGCCGCTTAAGCCTGGAATAAAGCAGAGGGTTCCTTATTGTAGATACTTTATAGATTTTATAGATTAGCTTTTATTTTACAGGAAACTCCAAGATGAGCTTTTTTAATTCTTTATCGGAGTATGTTTCCAACAGCGTAGCTGGGCTGTCACTGAGTCCAAAACGGTATGTATTGTTAATTACTTACATATTCATAAAGGTTGATCTCAAGAATCTCTTAAAATAATGTTCCTGAATTCATCCCTCATAAAAAATCGTTGTGTCTGCCTATTTGCTATGCATCATTTGAAAAACTAATCCACCCATTTCTGTCTGTTGACCATCCTTCTCTAATTATCTGCAACATCTGCAACTCGGAAAGTACCACTTGAAATTTCAATGATTTTAGACATATGTCTGCTTATGTGACAGCAATATTTAAAATTATGTCCAATGGAGTGTAATGAGAAAATAATCCGCAAGATACTCCCAGTCTGCGAGCGTTTAGGATTTTGAATCATTTTTAGATGAAATCGAATGTATATTCAATACGAGTCGATGTTTCGGAAAAAGAAGTAAATTCTGCTTAACGACGTTTTCCAACTTAATGATTAATGTACTTGCAGGTTTTCTTTGTCTCGAAGCGACACTCCAGAGACCCCAGTAGTGACAGTGGTGGGCAGCGGGGGCCCAGGCGGTGCCTCGGGGTCCGGTTCGCGCAGCAACTCTGGAGACAGCAACTGCACGCCTGGATTCCCAAAGGTATTATATTCTCATTATATCCAGATACAGACTCACTGATATAATCAGTCTGAGGTTACACCGCGTCGCATAAATCGATGGATACCTCACAGTTTAACTTCGTCAGTGCTCTTGTGGTCCTTGACAGTTAATAAGGACTTGCAAACTGTGTACGTTTACAATTAAAAAGTTTATAAACGGCAATTTACTGAACTGAATGTTTTTGGTGGTTACGTGATCAATGCCATATGAAGTAAGGTATTTGGGTGTAATTCATCTTTATAAACTAAAGAATGCGCAACCCACAATAGTTTTTAAGGGCAGTTTTTTTCAATTACTTCCTGGTAGTACTCCAACTTGAACACAAACTATTGACATTGTCCATGAATGAATTATATCTCCAGGGATTACATTTCATTGATACGATCAATAAAAAGGAAACTTGAATCGTACGCCAATAACGAGTTGACATTTATACGTTAGTACGAAATTTTCGAGGATACAAAATTGAGAAAAAGTATGATACTGAGCATTCGCACTTAGAGATCGATGTATATGACGGTCATTCTGCCAGTTTTACTGCGAATCGCTAAAAACCGTGAAAAGAGCTATAGGATGTTTCCTTCTTTCTTCGAGTTAAGCTCATTCTTACTCATGGGTTATCTTAACATTTGTCGGTCCCTTTGTAGAAATAGTATTAGCTTCTACTGATCTGATATTCACAACCGTACATGAAAAGTGGCGTTTTGGGGACCAATGAAAGTTGGAGCAGACCTAAAACTGCCTTCTGGCCATACTAATAATAATAATCTTTTACAACTAACCTGAGAAATCACCATTATTTGCCGCATTTCTCTGAGGAGAAATTACAAGTTCCATCTTGGCATTATTATTATTATTTTTTCCCCATCTTTTCCCCAAGGTATATAATAGAAATGAAAAAAGATATAGATAGATAATAGAATATGTGCATACATGCAGAGCTTCTTTGGCTTGTTGTAAAGAATTGACACTGTTGTTAATCCATTGTTTACTCCTAGTGCATGACAAATCGCTATATTTGGAAATTAGTAGAAAACGAATGCTGACGTATGTAACATCTTCTTTTGATAACTCACACTATCACGTAGCGATGGTGAGGAAATTACAAGATATCCTATACTTCGAAGTCCTATCAAATTAAATATGGAAATATACCATAGTGTATTAGTGAAAACATTATATACATAACTAAAATTTCAGTAAACATAAGACCTAAAGATATAATCAAATATTTAAACCCTCACAGTATAAATTGGGATGGTTGTGATTGAGTTCTCTTTGATTTACCATCAACTTTCTATATGGATTCAATAACGGAAAGATATACAATATGTTTAGATGTACCTGATATTTTATTGTTGATTTTGAAGGTGCTTCCGGCACCAGGTGCCGCAGCGCTGGCCACACGGCGTCGCAGCACCATGGAATGCCTTGGAGCCCCTGCGCCTCCTCCCATGCGTCGTCATTCCTTCAGGAAAGCTTCACCAGCTGGAGGGCCAAGAACGTCGCTTGGCAGCTCTATCCAAGCGCAGAAGAGTCAGAATTTCTGCTGTAGGAGGCTCAGCTGGCCGGAGATAGATCATCAAGTTAGATCCGGGTAGGACAGCTTTATTCCATGTTTATTTGAACAACAATGTTCGCGACACGGCGGGACAAAACTAAAAAACGTATGTCTTTCAGTTTACACAGACAAACGTCCGTGCATAGAAGGTGATTGCATACGTATGTGCGAAAGAGATGGATATATATATATATATATATATAGGGTGACTTCGAAGTTGAGTCATTTATTTTAACAGTGAGTAGATCTGATCAAAAGAAATATTTTTTTCCTTTACCATTTTTCTGGTAAAATTGAAGTAACAAAGTTATAGCCCTTTGGAAGTTTGAGTACCGCCCTGTCTCAATCATAATATTATGTGCTCGTGTTTGGCGACAACGGATATAATCCGCCGTATCGGTTCATCGCATCGGAAACAAAAAAGCGAAAGAATTTGGAACGATGTTTTTACAATTATTTCATTCATTTGTATACAGTCAGTGTCAGTGAATAGTGGTATCTGTTGCGTGGCTCAAACGAAATAAAAAATGGCACATGTTTATGCGGATCGGTTTCCCAATCGAGTGCAACCAACCCCTCGTGCCTTTGTTAATGTAGTACAACGGGCTCGTGAATCAGGTGACTTAAGACCTCACAGGGGACCTCACGATCAAATACAGGTCCGCACTGAAATACTTGTCGGGAGGATACTTTATAAAACAAGGTAAAAATTTTTTTTAATTTTTTTTTATTTTTACACACATATTTTGGTTTATCTTCCTTCTACAATCATTATCTGAAAATTAATGACTCAACTTCAAAGTCACCCATATATACAGGGTGTTTCAGTTTATTGTTGCATAACTTTAAGATGCGATAGAATTTTTAAAATTAATGCATAAAGTCTATATAAACATGGGTCGAAAAATGCGTGGCTTCCGTAAATACAGGGTGTTTAAGTTTACTTTTTAAAATAGTTTTTTTTAAATATTTCGAACAATATTTGATGTATAACAGTGAAAATTGGTATACAAGGGTTTTCTGGTACGAAAAAACGAACCATGGACATAGTTTTACTGTAGCCGCTGGAGGGCGCTCTCTACTGTACCTGTAGTGTATTAAAATGACCGAAAAATTTTTCTTAGTGCAATTTTTTGCTTTTTGAATAAAAAAGCTGATTCTTCGCACTTTTCTGCATAAAAAAGCTCTCGTGTGAGTTTTCGTTATAGTTAGCCGTTTTTGAGATATTTCGATTTTGAAGGTTCGATGCATTTTTAATTATTTATGGGAAAATAATATTTTTTTTACATTTTCGATTTGGGCATTACAAGTAATTAAGATGATCGTTTAGATTGTGTTTTTAAACACAGCAATAATTCCTAACTCCGAATAAACACAAAAAACAGGATATTAATTTGTTTAATTTTCCAATATTATTTTTAACAAATTAAATTAATTATTTACAACTAAAATGCTATTGGATAGTTAGGACAAATACAAAATCTAAAGTAGTTGCTCGAAATGTAAGCCCAATTGTTCAATACACAATTCACATCTACGAATGATCGAATAAGGCCTTATTTCATCACATGAATTCCTGATTCTGTCTATTAGTATATCTCTTGTGGTTACGGGAGTCTGGTACACTTTTTTCTTTTAGAAATCCCCACACAACGAAATCTGGATCTGGATTTAGGTCAGGGGATCATGGAGGCCAGGCGACTGGTCCTCCACGGCCGATCCATCTTTCTGGATAATTTTCGTCCAGCCAGTTTCTAACTATTCTCGAATAATGAGCTGGGCAACCATCAAGCTGGAACCAGGCCAATCTTCTTAAATCTAGCATAACATCATCCCACATATTTGCATGTTCAGCCTTTAAAAATTCCAAGAAGGTCGCAGCATTTAACCTTGCAGGCAAAAAGTAGGGTCCAAATAGTCGATTACGGTAGATATAAATTCACACGTTCACACTAAATTCATGCTGAAAATTTCTTTCCCGAACTGCATGCGGATTTTCATGCGACCAAATATGTTGATTATGAAAATTTACCACTCCACGTCTAGTGAAGCATGACTCATCGGTCCATAAAACGTTACTTAAAAACTCCCTATTATTATCAGTTCTATCAAGAAACCACTGACAAAATGTGCTTCTTCGTTCTCCGTCCCCTGGATGTAGTCCTTGCACAGGTTGCAAATGGTAAGGACATCTATGGTCATTTCTAAGAACACGGTGAACATGGCTTGCTGAAATTCCCAAGGCACCAGAAACTCTCCTAACACTTGTGGTCGGATCTCTATCAAACTCACGCAGGATCATACGGGTAAATCTGCGCTGCCGAACATTAATGTTTTGATCCCTTTGGAGATTTCCAAAACTATTTTCTATTATTTGGCGATGCACTCTTACAAATACTGAGCGAGTTGGATGTCGTCTGTTTGGAAATCTTCGTGCTTATTCTCTGGCTGCTTCTGCTGCGTTTCCATTTACAAAGCCATACACAAAATGAATATCCGCTAACTCTTGATTGGAGAATAAAAATGGCATTTTTATAAAACTTACAAAAAAAAAGGTAAAAGAAACTAAGTTTCGTGCATCCACAATTGCAAAAAAACGTTTCAGGTTTCAACAGACAACAAAACTAACTGTCAACTAATTGACGTTTAACCTTATTCTGCTTTCAACTTCAAAATCGAGATACTGACTTTTCAACGTTATTTTATCATAAATAAAATCGAAATATCTCAAAAACGGCTAACTATAACAAAAATTCACAAGAGAGCTTTTTTATGTTGAAAAGTGCGAAGAATCAGTTTTTTTGTTCAAAAAGCAAAAAATTGCACTAAGAACAATTTTTCGGTCATTTTAATACACTACAGGTACAGTAGAGAACGCCCTCTAGCGGCTACAGTAAAACTATATGTATGGTTCGTTTTATCGTACTAAAAAACCCTTGTATACCAATTTTCACTGTTATACATCAAATATTGTTCGAAATATTTAAAAAAACTATTTTAGAAAGTAAATTTAAATACCGTGTATTTCGGAAACCACGCATTTTTCGACCCATGTTTATATAGACTTTATGCATTAATTTTAAAAGTTCTATCGAATCTTAAAGTTATGCAACAATAAACTGAAACACCCTGTATATATATGTATATATACAGGGTGACTTTGAAGTTGAGTCATTAATTTTCAGATAATGATTGTAGAAGGAAGATAAACCAAAATATGTGTGTAAAAATAAAAAAAAAATAAATAAAAATATTACCTTGTTTTATAAAGTATCCTCCCGACAAGTATTTCAGTGCGGACCTGTATTTGTTCGTGCAGTCTTGGAGCACCGGCATGGCCTCCCCTGTGAGGTCTTAAGTCACCTGATTCACGAGCCCTTTGTACTACATTAACAAAGGCACGAGGGGTTGGTTGCACTCGATTAAATAAGAATCATGTCCACAAGTTCAGCATTTTCGTAAACATGTGCCATTTTTTATTTCGTTTGAGCCACGCAACAAACACCACTATTCACTCACGCGTTACCGACTGAAACATTGACTGACATCGTGATAAACGTTTCAAATTCTTTCGCTTTTTTGTTTCCGATGCGATGAACAGATAAGGCAGATTATATCCGTTGTTGCCAAACACGAGCACATAATATTATTATTGAGACAGGGCGGTACTCAAACTTCTAAAGGGCTATAACTTTGTTAATTTAATTTCACCAGAAAAATGTTAAAGGAAAAAAACATTTCTTTTGATTAGATCTACTCACTGTTAAAATAAATGACTCAACTTCGAAATCACTCTGTATATATATATATATATATATATATATATATATATATATATATATATAAGTAATTCTTGTAGTACTGCTGTGACTCCTCAAAAACCGCGAAAAGACCTATAGACAGCTTTTAGCAGCTGAGTGCAACTAAAAGTAATCAATCTTAACGTTTTGAACTTAACGAGACTAAAATAAATGCTTTGTGTTGATTGCCTAACGTCTTACATGTTCATATTGATCATACCCAGTTGACTTTGTTATTCGTAAATATGAAGATGCTATTGGTCGACGGATTGAGAACCATCAAAATAAATTAAAAATAAATACGTCTTGGCGTGTCTCTCAACTTTTGATGTGTCATTGCAGTAGCCACTATTGATCATTACTATACGCGACCGTTGAATGCAAAATGGTCATTTTCTTTGCTTCTCCATTTCGCCCCCATTAAAATTATCAGAATATAGTTATTTTGAGACCAGTTGACGTTTGCATGTACTCTTGTTTAGGTGATATCTTGTATCCCAGAATTTTCCCAGATTACCTACCCCGTATACAGTCTGGCATTTTGATTGCAGCGTCCAAGAGATCGACGGCGGCTACTTCGAGAGCTTCACGGCATTAGCATGGAAACAAGAGAACCAGAGGCAGGATGTAATGAAGCAGGCAGAGCAATATGCCGCTGAACCCCCTCCTCCTGAGAGCGAGTTGGGGATTACTCCAATAGACTACTCTCAGCCGCAAAGTGAGAAAGACAAACTTTATGTGGAGATGCTTTACACAATCGCGAATGCGGTAAGGATAACTAAAGTCCAGATTCTGATAAGATTCTAAAATCTAAACTTTTGACAGTTTAACCTAAAAAGTTCAGAAGCTGTCTTGCAGGGTTGGTATCTTCATAGATACGAGTAGATTAAAAATGTTTGTTTCGAGTTTTCATTTTCCTACCTCGAATTTTGTCCGCTCTAGCTACCATATTGGAAACATGGTGCCAAAAATCAGTTTTTCACAAAATTTCTGTTTTATCTTTTTCTACAGTAAAGATAATTATGTGATAAGATATACTAAAGAAAATTATAATGATAATAATGGATAATTTATTCATTAAGAATTTTTTAAGCAAGCGACTCCATGTGATGAACTCAAGAGTCATCTAACACTCCAAGAACACTAGCATTTATATCCTTCGTTACGGACTGATTTGTGGACAAAATGGACCATTTGTTTGCTTTTTCTTAATTGTTCGTAGCTCGTTTTTCTAGCAGAGGTAGGTTATGGTCTGCACAATTAGTGATGCGCCTTCGACGTGTGCTATACACAGACTTGGCATATGATGGAATAAGCCATTTAGGTATATTATGGATAGGCAGGGTCCCAAGATTGAACCCTGGGCCACCCCAAAACAAATGTCTCTAAATCGGATAGAGCCCCATCTACAACAACACGCTGCTTCCTGTCGTATAGATAAGAGTCCTCTAAAACCATATAAGGGACAACTCTAGAAGCGCTCGACTATTGTATTCGCTAGTTGTCATGATTTTTGAACATCTAGATGATTTACAACCAAACTAACAACAATCACTGTTAGTTTTTTGTTATGTTTATTTATTGTACTTCTCAAAATAATTTCGAATACGTTTCCTAATATTAGGGTGAATGGTAATGTTCTATGTTCTATGTAATCTACACTTTTTGCATAAAGGTAACACAACATTAATTTTAAACGCCGCAAGAAAATTACGTTCACTGAAAATTCTAGAACGCCCTCAAACTTCATTTTATGTATGCACGTTTTGTTCATTTTTAGTTTGATTTCTCGCCTTTTTTAAAGTTTCTGGGCAATTTGTGGTGTAGAAAGACGTAGTTAGAAAAAATAAGTCGATCCTTGACACTTACACAAATGCATCACTTTACATAAACTTTGAGTGCCTCAGCTTCGCAGTTTCCCTGAGACAAATTATTTACCTACGATAATCTGCAAGTCATCTCGTCCCGTGAAACTGCTATTTCCCCTCCATTTAGAGCCCTAATTTCAATAATCATATTATCCTCTGCGTTACCTCTGAATGCATCGAAAGGAAGTTTCTTTACAGAAAAAACAGAACATGTGTTTCTACCACCACTCGGGATGTGGATTCTAGAACGAGGGCATGTTTTCATAGGATCCCGACCGTCAGCAGCCTTTTAACTTTTAACTTTTCTCGTAGTTTAGTTACACTGGAGAAAAAAAAAAAGTATAGGTAAAAGCATTAAAGTTTCTGGTTGCCGTAGTACGTTCAAATTTACTTCATTCGAAGTTTCTTTATCCGTGCGCTTGCTGACTCAAGAAGGTTGGCGGACGTTTATTAAACGATTTGGTATTAGGAACCAATATAAACTTTAAACCACGACAGTGGTGCTGTCGCGGATAATTTTTGAACGAATAGATACAGCCCGCCCAACACTTCCCGAATCGTTAATTTTATATCCTAGTGTCCAGTTTTCAAGATACATGGTGTGAATTTCTATGCCACTGATGTGGACTACATAAGGACAAGACATGAATACTATCAAGAGATGGGACTAGTCTCGCAATACGCTACATATAGTTTTCAATGGCGAAAGAATAATTTTCTTTTTTTTCTGTAGGGATCATTTTTTTCTGTATCTACGCCACTGATGTTCACCAACATTCTTGTATATATTGGATTCGCTATTGGTGCTATACGTCAATGTACCAACATTTTGCCACTTGTTATGAAGATATTAGAGGCCCGTGAGTGTATGAACTTTTGAACCTTTCGTGTTACCTTTTGCATCTATGTTTGCCCTAAGCATACCGCCAATTGTTTCTTGGACTTTAAGCACAGAATCAATAAAGAAACATTGGAAATGTGTGATATTTTGAATGTTGATAGCTACCACGATTTGAGAAAAAAAAGAAAGCTAACAGGCACTACTAACTAATTCTTTTCAGAATGTTGTCACAACATTTTAAATATTTTCGCCATTTCGTAACTTTCGTTATACAGATATGGTCCGCGTACTTCTGCTAAATCATAATAATAATAATAATAAATGTCTTTATTAATACACATACATCACTGTGGCAGAGTTTAGCCAAATGGCTGCTCTTACACTTAACCCCACTGTGTGCGAAAGAGTAAACGTAGTTAAACTCGATACACAAACAAACAATAATAATAATAATAATAATAATAATAATAATAATAATAATAATAATAATAATAATAATAATAGTCATCTAGAAAGCTTGCTGTGGTATTGTGTCAGTTAAACAAACAGATCCTGCCAGAGTACCTAGCACACTCCAACTGTATAGAACAACCTCACACACTGATATACTGTGCAGCTGTTGCAACCGTAAGAACACTTGGTGTCAAAATACCAACTCCAAACATTACTGAAAATTCAGTAAAACCAATAACACCAAAATGGGAAAAACGGCTGGAAAAAAGAACGGCCGACATTCGCAGAGATATCGGACGTCTTACCCTATTCACACGAGGAATAACAAATCGAAAAGTACGAAAGCAAACTGTGGAAATAATGCAACAAATCCACCATCATTCTCACCAAGACTCAACTAACATCAACGAGTGGCAATGCCTTGATACCTTGAAGCAAAAACTGTCCGTATACACTCAGCGATTAAAAAAGGTATAAAGCGTCCAGTCACAGAAAGCACGAAAATGCGCTCTTTCAACGATCCGAAAAGGCATTCTACAGGAAACTGTCATCCGAATCCCAAGAAAAGAGCAAAACGGTGCCCACAAAGGACCATGTAGAGGAATTTTGGGGCAAGCAGTTTGGCTCGACAGCTTATTACAACAAGTGTGCAGGATGGATTACAGATGAAGAAGCGAAGTGCCATTATTGCAATCCCATGCAGTATAGGGCATATACCAAACAAGAAATAGGAGATCGTTAAGCAGTTGCATAATTAGAAGGCCCCGGGCCCAGACCAGATTCATGGCTACTGGACAAAGAAGCTTTGGTGCATGCATGAACAACTAACAAGATATATCAATGACATGCTTTTGAATCCAAATAAGGCTCCAACGTTTCTAACACAAGAGCTAACGGTATTAATACCAAAAGATCTCAATAATACAGAAGACCCAACAAAATACCGCCCTATTACCTGCCTTCCCACGCTATACAAGGTGATCACTGCTTGTATTTTGAAGCGAATTTATTCTCATGAATGAATGAATGAATGAAGGAATCTTGAAATTAGAGGCATTCCGGCCACCATAAGGAGCCAGTGCATAGGCCGCTTAAACGGGCCCTTATGCACCTCTACAATCCTTAGATCACAAACCTCGCCCTTTTAGCGAAGTTGACAATCGCCTTGAATCCAAGCTCCTTGACGTCCTGAGGGTCCAAAGTAATGGACCCCAGTATAGTCTGCCTATAGTAGCTCAGAACTTCACAGCGACACAAAACGTGCGCCGAGGTCTCTTCCTCTAATCCGCAGCGTTCACACAAGGGATCCTCAGCCACCCCCATCACATACAGGTGACGCCTTAACGTGTTATGGCCAGACAACAGTCCCACCAGCAACCTTAGGTTGGCTCTATTCAGAGATAGGCAGAAGCGCCCATCCTTAGCACTGGGCCCTTCAATGAGTTCCCGTGCCTGGCGGAGATGTCTGGAGATACTCCTCCATTTCTAAGAGTGTTGTCTTGCAACCCACGTCTCCATTTTCCTCCTAGCTTTATGCGCGGTCACTCCTAGAGCTGGCTCAGGACCAACGAGCTTGCTGGCTGACCCTGTCTTCGCCAGAGTGTCCGCCGTCTCATTGCCCCTTATCCCACCGTGCCCCGTGCAATTTATGCTCATTGTGAAGACAACGATATTATTGCGCCACAACAAAAAGGCTGTGCTAAGGGAGCTATGGGATGCAAAGAACAGCTGGCTATCGATTCAGTCATCTGTAACCAAGCCTATGCCAATAAAAGGAACCTATACATTACGTACATCGACTATCAGAAGGTATACGATTCTGTACCTCATGAGTGGCTTGTCAGGATGCTTAGGCTCTATAAGATAGATGAGCATGTAGTGGCCCTATTAGAACATATGCTGAAGACCTGGAGAACCAGAATAACACTGCATACAAACGGGACCAGCACCATTCAAACTGAGACGATCTCTATCCGAAGAGGTCTTTTTCAGGGTGATTCACTAAGTCCCCTATGGTTTTGCCTAGCTATAAATCCCCTCTCAAACTTCTCAAATGCAACAGGGTATGGATATAATCTGAGAGACAATAGGAACGTATCCATAAAACTAAACCACTTGCTGTATATGGACGACCTAAAGGTAATAGCTGGTACCGGGAATCAAATGAAACAGCTGCTAGAGATAGTCGGACAGTTCTCAGATGACATAAGTATGCGATTTGGGATGGATAAATGCAAATCCTTATCTATACGTAAGGGGAACATCTACCCTGGAGGATTTTCAAGCTGCAGGGGCCAAAACATTGACGCAATGGATGCAAATGACACATACAAGTACCTTGGAATGTTGGAATGGCGCAGGCCCGAAGGATAGACCACAAAAAACTGAAGGAAGCTATATCGCAGACCTTCACAAAAAGAATACGGCTACTTCTGAAAACAGAACTCAATAGTAAGAATCTAGTCAAGGCGATTAACACCTACGCATGCTCTGCCTTGAACTACTCGTTCGGTATAGTTCTGTGGAGTAAAACTGACATCGAGAAACTAGAGAGGTGGGTAAGGACTATGCTAACAAAAAAAGGAGCGTACCCTCCTCGCAGTGAAATAGAGCGCACAACCTTACCCCGACAGTTAGGAAGAAGAGGTCTAATGGACATCAGCAAGCAGCTAGCTCAACAGGTACTCGCCTTGCGATCCTACTTCTTTGAGAAGGCCGAGATCTCTGAGCTGGATCGCATCATATGCTCAGTAGATGACACAACGCCCTTACACTTTAGTAGACGAGATGACCAACCGAGTCACCAAACCAACGAACAGAAGCTACAACGATGGATTGAAAAACCTCTACATAGGAGACGTGCAAACGAGATTAGCAAAGAAAACGTTGACAAGGAAGCGTCAAACTATCGGCTTACCTCAGGCCAAATGTTTCCTGAGACTGAGGGATTCCTTGTAGCTATACAGGACCAAGTCATCCCTACCAATAATTACAAGAGGTTCATACTTAAGAACTTGCAACAGTCTGATAAATGCAGGTACGGCTGTCAGGACTCCGAAACAATACAGCACGTAACTGGTGGATGCCAAGCATTCGCTCCAACGGACTATAAGTAGCGCCACGACATAGCTGCCAAAATCATTCACCAGTTGGCATACAAATTCAAACTGATCGCATTCAAGCTACAGTACTATAAATATACACCACAATGTGTCTTTGAGAACGACATGTATAAACTATACTGGGATCGCACTGTGCTTACAGACCAATACATAAAACAAAACAGACCTGACATAATCATTCTCGACAAGGGCGCCCAGAAAGTAACACTGATTGATACCTAATAGTAACAATTTAACATACAAACATAATGAGAAAGTTGCAAAATACAGCGAACTAGAGTTTCAAATTAAACGCCAGTGGAAAATGAACTACGTGGAGACAATACCAATAATAATGTTATCTACAGGGGTGATACCAAGAAGCCTGCTAGAAAAAATCAAAGCACTGGAACTGAGTGAAAACATTTACAAAATCATACAGAAAGGAGTTTTGCTCGCAACTGCCCGCATAGTAAGAAAATTTATGGGAAACGCAAGTATCTCGTGATGTCCCTATTGAGGCTTATCCCTTTGATGCTTGAAACGTCCGGGTTACGCCAGAACACCCCGATTAACGGGAGTAACAAAGCCCTACGGCTATAAAAAAAATAATAATAGTTATAATAATAATAAGAAAAAGACAGGTAAGTAAATGAAATGAAATGTTGACATTTCTGACACACAAGCCAACAGAGTAATATGAAAGAGAAAAAAGAAAAAAAAATTAACAAATGCATACTTGAACTATCCCATCAGCTGTTTCTTAACGATACATTTTATCTGTAGAGTTGTATAACTTGACAGCATGAAATGTGAAGCTTTTCTGGAAAAGGGCTGTGTAGTGGACTGGCATCGCAAAATTTAGGTTGTGTCTGGGATGTCTCTGATTAATGACTCTTGATACCAGCTTTTCTAAAATGTACTGTGGCTATTTTGTGCAAACTACTACACAAACTGTGATTCCATCTTTAACCAATTTAAATCTTTAGTCTTCGAAGAGACATGACTATATTTACGAAATCCAAACACAAACCTGCAGCAGTTGTTTTGAATTTTTTGTAACCTATACCGATCCGACGAATCCAAATAAGAATAGAATGATATCAGAGAATGTTGCAAAGACGACAGGATCAAGCTTTCAACTAATTTTTTCCTAGTCTTAAAGTTTGAAATGAACCGGTTGAAGAAAGAGTTTTAATTTGGCATACGTTATTTGAGACAGGTAACCGTTGTGTCTATCAGACTTCAAGTTAGAGTCCAAGATAACACCCAGGTTTTTAGAATGTTCTACCATGGGGATGCGATCATTATTTATAATGAGTACAACTGCGTCCTTTATGTTATTATACATGTGGTTCGGAGAAAAAAGCGTACTTGAACTCTTTTCAGGATTGATCCTGAGACAGTGGTTCTTACAAAAATCGGTAATATTGATTAGGTCACTATTAATTTTAAACGACACTTCATTTAACCGAGCATCTTTGAAGTGAAATGATAATTATGTCATCAGCATGTGTTTGTATATAACAAAATTCCACACATGACTCTAAGTCTATAGTGTAAATTAAATATAGCAGAGGTCCCAGAACTGACCCCTGCGGAACGCCAGATGAAACCACTAGAAGTGTCGCCCCTATGTATGTATGTAAAGCAAACAACAATTTCTAGACACTGCTATTTCTTTTTCATCAGGTAGGAGCACCAGCTCCTGGAGGTCAATACGCTCATTACAAAGAAGATCTGTACCTGTATGGACAGAGAGCATTCGGTATCCCAGGTGACAGACACTATCGGATGATGCATACTGCCGGTGAAGAGCAACCCCCTATTGTAGTACTGAGCGTCATTGTGATTGAAGCAGAAGGCTTAGAAGCCAAAGATGCAAATGGTAAGAAAGAAATAAGAATATAATACTTCTATCCATCTAGCTCTTGATGGTCAAGTACCAAACGGAAGGAAGTAGCATAACTCATTGTAAGCCACTGCTGACGGGATGTATCTTCGTGTATGTGGTGGCATACTATACGTTATTTTACTCTCTTTTATTTTAGAACTTGACTATATGTCGTTTGTAATTGATGCAAGTGACAGTAAAACAATTTTGTCTTTACATGATATCTCGTTAACTTACCATTTGGAGTCGCTTATTTATTGCGCACTGAAAGGGCAATATTTATGTCCTATCTATATCTCTCGAATATATCAGCTATGTCTCGACTACGAGTCCTGTCTCAGTTTGGCCTAACTATCAAAACTACATTTTTTAATGAAATTTGTCACATAGGCGGAAACGTATTAAGAACTAAACTGTATTTCTGATAACGTACGATATTTTTACTGCAACACTACATTTTTTTGTAACAACGAAAAAATTTCTTTCAAACTCAAAAAAAACTGCCGATTAATAAAAATGAACGAAACCAAATAGCAGCAAATCACCACTGCATTACATCGTCTTTTTGACTGATTACTGCTTCAATACGTCTTGGCATCGTGTCAACTAATGTTTGGCAGTCATCTGGTGTCAAACTGTTCCAAATTTCTTGGAGACGGGTTCGCAATTCTGGAACGGTTCTTGTTGGATTCGATCGGCAATAGATCTGGACTACTCGACGTCCATTTTAAAACTGAAACAGCCTCACCACGAGCCATTTTGGATTGTTAACAACAACACCAAGGCACTGAAAGTTGATTTAAACGTCAAAAATCAGCTTCTTAGCAACGTAAAATGTTCTCATTTGTTTTTCAAATCCAACTTTTATTTTAACGAAGCGAATAGGCAGAACATTCAACTTAAATTCACTCCATCATGTATTTTGCTATACTCAAATCATTTTGCAAAGAAGATAATTACGAAATAAAAACGGTTTAAAAATAAGCGAGTCGGTTTTGTTGTCTTTCCATAAACATTTAAATAAACCAAAAATAGCCCTCAGCCCTCAAATATATTCACAAATATCATGTTTTGTGGCGTTGGGCCAACTTCACTGAGACAGGGCTCGTATACATATCTTGGCAATATTGTCAGCAGTGTGAAGGCAAATACCTGGTCAGAATTTCTCATCAGACGGACTACCAAATCAGGCAAGAATCACTAACGAAGTTGTACGCATCGCATCAGCTTACAGTACTTACATTACTTCCAATAATTTGGCAATCTGACAGAATTTCATCAAAACTAGTTTGGAAATGTAAAAAAATATGGTTACCCTAGAAAATTATTGCCCGAATCCAATAATCATAAGGCTAGTCCAACTGTTTGAAGTATACGTATACGTATATTGCAAAACAATAAATGATTGTCAAAAAATCGTCTTCTGTGAATGAGTTATGAGTAAAAATACCTACAATTGTAGGACGCCTTTATGGCCTTCTTGGCCTCCTTGATTGTCACCTGTTCCGCGTCAGCGTCAGCGACACAAATATCAATTTGCATCAAATTGTTCATGCTTTTTATTTACATCATGTTTTATTAGCCTGAAATTTGCTGCAATTCAAAAGGAAAACATAACTTCACAATAGGAAAACGCTGACGCTGACACAGAACAGGCGCAACCTAGAAATTTTTGAAAGGAGAGAATACTGAACGTAATGGGTGATTTTTTTGCTAGTATCTTTTTGGCAACACTGTTTTTGACAGATGACGCGTGAATCGTGTCTTGTGTCATTGTCAAACTTGTTCAGTTTGGTCTATAATTTAACCATGAATCGACTTACGAACGAACAACGCTTGCAAATTATTGAATTTTACTATAAAAGTTCATGCTCGGTTACGAGAGTGCATCGAGCACTGCTTCCAATTTATGGGCAATTTGGTCGGCCTACTGAGGGAGCTATTCGGAAGCTTGTGACTAAATTTCGAACCCAGTTTACATTATTGGACATTAAACCACCAACACGCAGGCGTAGAGTGAAGACTGAAGAAAATATTGCGGCTGTATCCGCCAGTGTTAGTGATGACCTTGAAATGTCAATTCGCCGCCGTTCGCAGAAATCGGGCCTCTGTTACTCCACTACGTGGAAAATTTGGGTGGGATTTGGGTGTAAAACCTTATAAGATACAGCTGGTGCAAGAATTGAAGCCACACGACGTCCCACAACGTTTCCCATTTGGTGAATGGCCGCTGGCAAATTTGGAGGAAGATCCACATTTTTATCGAAAAATTGTGTTCAGCGACGAAGCTCATTTCTGGTTGAATGGGTACGTTAACAAGCAAAATTGCCGCATCTGGAGTGAAGACCAGCCAGAAGCATTGCAAGAGCTACAAATGCATCCCGAAAAAATCACTGTTTGGTGTGGATTATGGGCCGGTGGCATCATCGGGCCGTACTTCTTCAAAGACGACAATGGCCGGAACGTAACTGTGAATGGCGAGCGCTACCGTGCGATGATAACAAACTTTTTTTTGCCCAAAATGGAAGAGCTGGACTTGGCTGACATGTGGTTTCAACAAGACGGTGCCACATGCCACACCGCACACGAAACAATGGCCCTATTGAGAGGCGAGTTCGGTGAACAGTTTATCTCACGTTTGGGGCCCGTCAATTGGCCGCCTAGAGCGTGCGATTTGACGCCGTTGGACTATTTCTTGTGGGTCCATGTTAAGGCTAATATCTACAGGGATAAACCAGCAACGATTGACGCACCGGAAGCCAATATTTAAGCATTTATTCGTGAGATATCGGCCGATATGTTGGAAAGAGTGTGCCAAAATTGGACCTTGCGCATGGGTCATCTAAAGCGAAGCCGCGGCCAACATTTAAATGAAATAATCTTTAAACATTAAATTATATCGACCGTTATATCGACACAAATAAAGATTTAATCGTTTTTTCAATTTTTTTATGTTTTTTTTGAAAATCAAATCTTATACCTCTTAAAAAATGACCCGTTAGTTTTTACTATGAAAATTTAAAAAATCCTTTCTTTGCCTCGGGTAATTCAGTAAAATTCCCCGTAATTTCCTGTCAATTCCAGCTAATGTCCAAACATTTCTGTTGTACGTACAACAAATTCTCCCAGCAAATGTCTGCTTGATTTTAGCATAAGGATGGAAACTAACAGTAAACTAGTATGTATATTTGTGGCTTTGTCCAAGGGTTTGTGTATTTTTAGCAACTCTTGTTCGCTGAAGGTAAGAGGTATTATTATACACAGATTTGGTATTGAAGATTAAAATATTTTTAGGTTTCAGTGATCCATACTGCATGCTGGGCATCCAACCAACAATGGCGGCTCCAACCTCCCCACAGCCTGGCACGCCTAGTCGCACACTATCAGATGCCTGCTGCCCAACCACTGGCGGAGGTGGAACAGGAACGGAACGTGGCACAACGGGAGGAGGAACAACACAATCTGAACTAGGTAGAGTGATTAATACCTATTCTATTTTATGACATGAGATTTTTATTATTTCTCCTTTATTTTTAAATTCTTTCCTCCATGTGATAAGATCCTCATTGGAGGTATTTTCTTAATAACGAAGCAGCCGTGCAGGCACAAGCCTAAATACCAGGGCACCGCGGCTGCTATGAAGAGCTTAAAGAAACTTTGTTAATCCGATTTTTGAACTGCCCAAGATTAACAGAACGCTAGGACGCTTCTTGTTAGTCAAGGTACAGTACTGTGCTTTGGAAACATTAAGCTGTTGCGCCTCCAAGCAGTGATAACCTCCAGGTATCTCGTCATTTCCTGTACCCCGGAAGGCCGCTAATTGCAGCTGGTTTCACGAATTCTTCCAGCCTTCAAATTTTGACATGACTACTTTTTAGGCGGCATTTGCTTAGTCGTTGTTTTTTGATGTTATATTCTTAGTTGATTTTTATTACACCTACGCTTATTAGAAAAACACTCTTTTCAAGAAACTTTTGGATGAAACTGTACTAATTGCAGGGAGCAGTGGTAACCACGACAAGTTACGGAAACACCACAGTTTTAAGCTGAGTTTCAAACGCAAGGAGGGAAGGATACGAGAGCAAAGAGACAGCTTGGGTGGAGGACAGCTACCAGCAAAATTCATCAGAGCTACTTCTGTTAAGTCGCATACACTCAATCCGAAGTGGAATGAAAAGTTTAGATTGTAAGTACACTTTTTGTTGCTGTTATGTGTACTCAATCTATCAAACATATTTTAGGATTGCGTATCTCTTGATTCCACGTGTAACATTTTAATAGCGATGATGATGGTACATCAATTGAAAACTGCGTCGCTTAAGACTACCAGCACAATTATTGAGCGCGTTCAGCTAACGTAAAGCGGTCCACAAGAAAGGCAGAAATTCAACAATGACTCGTTTCAAAAGACATTAGTTTCAATGAAAATATGGTGAAAGCAGAACTTATCCATCTAGTCAGGTAGCACAAATATAAATATAATGTTATTCTTATTGACGAAATGTCTAAAAACCAAAACAATACCCTTTTAATCCCATTGAAAAGATGAGGAAAAATATAAACAACTATGTTGCTTCAAACAATAGAACATTAAAAATTTCTGACGTGAAAAATTTGTCTTTTGAAGCTGTTAACAGAGTGACGGCAAACCATTGGAAATATTGCATCCATCACGTTCAAGTGACAATCGAAACAAATATATGGGATCTGGGCAATACGATCGATATTGAAATTGAACCAGTAATAATTAATATTAACCATTCGGACGATGATTCAACTACTTCCAGCGAATAAGGAATTGTGAAAAGTATGTGCACTTCTTTCTATAAAAATAATCATTTATTTTGTTAGATTATTCCAAGACCATTGAGGAAAATACGGACCTGTACAATCTCGCTTTTGGGCATGTTGTGTTTTGTCTGGGCGTAAATGAACTACGAATGGAGTGTAGGTAGAAGAAGCAAGTCTACGATTTGTGTGTCTCCATAATCCGAGTCATACAACAAATCGGTCAGGCATAGGTCTCCAGTTTGACAGTTGTTTTTGCATGCGAAAACATATAAACGAAAATAGTGGTTTCTGTTATATGCAAAAAGTCGTTCAACCTGACTAATCGATCGATTAGTGGTAATATATTATAGTAATCCGCGTTGCGAAAGGGCATGTCCCCAATGTTGGGCTTTTACCTGTGAGGGAATTTTGATTTATTTCAGATCTGTTCTTGTTTTTTTCAAGCTGTGTTGACAGGATTGTATGCCAAGCAACACCAGTGAAAAATGAAAAGTATTGGAGACAAACCATTTTCCTTTTGTATTCACGACCAACCACAAACAGCGCTATCTTGTGCTCATTAGTAACTCATCAGTGTGGTATAGGTCTCTAGTAGCTCAGGAGACAGATGAACGGGAAGCAAACAAGTCGATATGGTCGTTTGAAAAACTCAAAATACTGTACGAAGGTAGGCGAAAAATCTAACGATCTCCACCTACCAATGGCTTGCAAAGTTCATCTTCTTCATTGACGAAAGATGACGGATAACCCGTACGTTACCGATCCAAAACTGCTCGACGTCGCAATGCACAGATAAATGTCGCACCGGCAAGGTAATAGACCCGAGCAGCCCGAATACCAAGTGTTCACAGAGCAGATCAACAATGGCTTTCTATGCATAGACGCAACTATGAATATAATTTTGAGGAGAGGTACTTTCTAGTGCTCCAAAGATGATGGGTTGAAATTCATGATGATACAGCCGTAATACAGAGGTTGAAGCATCACGTGCTTTTGAGTACGAGTACCTTATTGGTTTGAGAATATTTTCCTTCTTTGGATGTGGATATAACAATCCTGTTTGGTCTAAGTGCATAATATTGTATATATTTGATGATTTTGAAACTGAAGTTTACATCTATACCCATGAGCAGTAGTTTTTTATGATTACTCTATTTTATGTCTTACCAAAGCCATATTAAATAAGTAACTTGGCCGTTTTATATGAATCATTCGGGATCTTCATGGAGCTGTAAAACATACTCTTTACGACTTGATAACTTTTATTGCCTGCTACTTCCTAACCTTCCTTTTCTTTTTTCATGACGGAAGTTTTACTATGCTGCTTAATTTATTTTTTATAGACGTGCTAATGAAACCCTTCAGTTTGGATTACATAGGTTGTGGAAATTGAAGGAAGGTTTTATCATAGAATCCGTGGCGTAACGCAACTATGACACCCGACTGCCAACCAATCTCTGCAGACCTAGAGGGTGAAATGGATATAGTAAATTATTGAGAAATGTGTTTCAGTAGTGCGACGACCTACCAGTAGTTTGCGATAGCCACTTTATATTCTCAGTGACATTAAAAGTTTTACACCCAGAAAAAAAATGAATTGATAACATTCTTACGCAATTTTATTGACAAGCGCTAAGAAAAAAAATTAATAATGTTTTGGGCGACCCCGCAGCTGTATACGTCTAGGCATCAACAAAATGAGATGTCTGATTGTGGCACCTCATTGCAAGTAACTCGAACTTTGCGGATTAGCTGTGACAGAGTGTGTGGCGGATGGAGCAAAGTGGTCAGTCTCCTCCCCATCATATTCCACACACGTTCGATAGGATTTAAATCCGGTCAACGGGGTGGCAACGGCAAAACACTAACGCCTGCTTCTTGAAGAAACTCCGTAGTACGACGAGCAATATGGGGATATGCGTTGTCTTGCTGAAAAAGGACATGTAGACGACCCTCTAGATATGGCAGTAAAGTGGTTTGTAGGACATTATCAACATAACTCGTAGCAGCCATATTGCCTTGAACAAAGAGAAGGGGTGCTTGTCTATCAAAAGCAATAGCACCGAAAATCATGACTCCAACAGTCCTGTGTACAGTCGTGCGCACGTAGACAGAATCGCGATTCATCGCGGAAGATGACGTTATGCCATTATGCCTCCCAATGTTGCAGTTGTCTGCTCCAGTTCAAACGTTGACGACAGTGGTCCGTAGTCAGAGGAGACACCAACCGTGTACGATATGAAAAAAGTCCAAAGACCCGAATGCGGCGATAGAGTGTACGCAGAGTAACAAAAATATTGGAAGGTGAACTAAATAAGATCTTGTTAATCAGACACTTCGGATAACCATTATTGATGAACAGTTTTGATAGTTTACGTAAATTTGAGGTGTGGAAAGTATTATCTGAGATGCTGATTACCCTTGTTTTCATCTGTTTTACCAAGTTGATTTTAATCCCTAGCTTATGGTATGACCTAGTTAATTCAACTGCCTCTGGTCGGTTTAACAATTTCTTACATAACATTCTGAAAATCAGATCATCTGAAGTGATTTCGCAACGTTGGCACACGCCCACAATTCGTTCCATCTTTCTATACAGACATTGACAACCTTCGGCCTTCTGTCAAAGGGTTCATCTCACTCATTATTCCATGACCACCATTTTGTGCAATCATCAAGTGGCTTCACGATGTAATGCTTTCATGTTTTTAAAAAAAAAATTAATCTGTTTTTAACTTGTTCCTGTCATATTTTATATAATTTTGACCATTGTACCATCTATCCAGCTTTCACCATGTTACTGGACGTTTCCCTCATTCTATACGTAAACAACAATTAGCAACATCCTCACATACTACTGTAAGTTAAATCATTCTAAATTCATTTTACACTATTGTTGCTACTGTTATCATTGTAATTGCAGCTCCTGATGATGATGACAAAGTCCATTGAAAGCTAGAGAGAATTAAAAAAGTATAAAGAGTCCTCTTTGCTTAAATTTTGTCGAAGTACCCAACAAAAGGCGGAAGCTTTAATTTTCACCTAACTATATATATATATATATATATATATATATATATATATATATATATACAGGGTGGCGCATGGAAAACGAGACAGGCGCATTTAGTGGCAGCTCAGTTTTTTTTGGAAAAACGCTCAGACCCGTCGATTTTGTTTTCGAGGGGGACACAAGTTTGGCAAAAAATCACGTCAACACGTGCAGCCCCTTGGGTGGGGGTGACACCAACCCTAAAATCGTAAATGGAAAGGGGGTTCGAGTGATACCTTATTTTAAAGGTCTTTCAATTCCCTTTATAATGATGTAAAATACATGAGCTTCAGTTCAGTAGTTTTGAAGATTTATTGATTTAAAGCTTAAAGTAGGCTTTAATAGGTACATCAGATCAGTTTGTACTACTTTCAGAAGAAATTTGACTAAAAGAATTTACTTAATAAGTAAATGCTTTTCTTCACTACGCCTATGGTTGGTTTATCATTTTGTTGTTGAAAATAGCTATTGGAGCTTTTTTTTGTGGCAAAAAATTTATTTCTTGAAGAAAGATGAGGAAATATCTCGTACTTATTTTAAATAGGAATTTAGTACATAGTTTGCGATTGATTTGACCAAACTTTGTTGCTAAAATAACTTGTAACGCTTTATTACATAAATTAACCATGGTATATTCCACAGCAGAAAGAGTTAAAATTATCGAAATATTTTTCGGAAATAATCAGTGCGCTAATAGAACAGCAGAAATATTTAATGAGCGACATGAAAACAGCAACGTGCATCGAAAATATGTTCTACAACTTGTAGCTAAATTTCGGGACACTGGGTCACTCGCCAATAAAATACGCAGCATTGAAGATCCCATAAGGAACGAAGCAATAGAAGTGGGGGTTTTAGGGCAAGTTTATGTAGATCCTATGTTAAGTACCCGCAAATTGGAGACTGTGTGTGGTGTTAGTCGACGTACAGTCCAACGGATTCTAAAGGCCCATAGTTTTCATCCATATAAAATTCACCTGGTACAAGAACTTAATGAAGACGATTTTTATCGACGATTATAATTTTGTGAAGATATAAGTGAACGAATTATAAACGATGAATATTTTCTATTCAACACTTGCTTCTCCGACGAATATTAGTTTTTCTTAAATGGCGTAGTAAATCGACATAACTGCCGATGGTCCGATTCTAATCCCAGAATTTATCATGGGGTTCATACACAGCAGCCACAAAAATTAAATGTTTGGGCTGGTATTTTTGGCGATCATTTAGTTGGTCCTTTTTTCTTACCTGGAAATTTGACCGGTGAAATGTATTTGGAATTACTGGAAGTCGCCATAGATCCTGCATTAACAGCCATAATTGAAAATCAGAATGATCGG